AATAAATTCCTTTCTTTGTCTTCTCTTTTAATGCCCTCTCCCTGCCTTTAAAGACCTTTCTTCTGTAGCTCAGTGGAGCACCCCTCAATTTGCAGGATAGGATGCTGCCTGATTCATGAATCTTCCATAAAACCAATTTTTTGGCTGAATTTTGTTTCATAACAAAATTACTGGAGCAGACTTTGACTAGGACGGGCTGAAAATGCTCGTTGTTCAGGACAAGCTCTTCTGATGGGAAGCCATCAAAACAAATATACAACACTGTGAGCAAGACAGACCCTTCTCTTGTAAGAAGAGTTCTTTCTTTATCCCTTAAGGACAGGGAATAGGAAAGAGCTTCTTGTAAAGCGAGAAGATAAAGCACAGAATTTTTAAAAATCATTTTTGGGGACAACGTTGGTGCTGGTGATGGGTGTTAGGGAGGGGGAGAATAACAGAAATAGGGAAACAAAAGTCATTTCGGTGTTTCATAAGGTCCTTCTTCTAGCTTGTGGGCTCTCTCTTCAGTCTGAAGTTCTGTGCTATGTATCCCAGCTCAGATGTCAGATCAAAAGACTGCACTTCTGGGGTGCTGACCTTGGGTGGCTGGGTTCTCCTACTGCCTAACGAACAGGCATCCATTGGTCCCCAGCTCCTCCCCAACTGCCGAGGGTCACCTGGAGATGAGGGGCATCTCCCTCATCTTGCCTCCTAAAGGCATGGGGAGGTTCCTCTTCCCCAACTCTGAGTGAGGCTCAGAAAGGGGCAGCCCTGAGCAGGCAGACAGCTGGGTAGCAGAGCCTCTGATCCTGACCTGGGTGCTGGCTTTGGGGCAAGGGACAGTGACCTGTGCTTCTTCATCTCCCATCTGCTCCTCCCCATAGAGCTCATTCTGTCTGCTCACCCAAGTCTATCCCTGAAAACTTCAAGTTTATTTATACTTTCTATTAATAATGAGGGGAATAACATTTGTACAAGTATTCTGTGGGCAGCAAGCCCTGAAAGACAATTGATTTGTAGGGCTCAGCCCTCAAAACAGATTACAACCTAAAGTCAGAAAAAAACAGGAAAAAGGAACCAACAAGAAAGACACAGTCTGAAAGCATGTTTGCCTGGAGGTTTAAAACGTACGTCCGGGGGAGAGGTCCCCTCTCCATCAAAATCACATATTACCCTTTGTTCCCTCCCCCAAATACCCCTTTTCTCTTACCTGGAAAGTTTGGGTCCTGCTCCCTTCTCTAACTTTGAAGACAGTGCTAAGCTAAGACGTTGAGAGAAAGGAGAGAGGATGTGAGAGGAGGAGCTGTACAAACTTGCTCATGCAAGAGACCTGCCCACTTCGTCATCTAGCCTCTCAGATAGAACTTCCTGTAACTAATGATTTCATTTTTGCAGTACAATAAGTTAGCCATTAACCACATGGGCTGTTGACAACATGAAGTGTGATGAGTGTGAAGGCAGAAGTGAATTTTTAATTTTATTTCACCTGAATTAATTTGTAAAGGTTTTATTTTTAAATAATCTCTCCACCCAATGTGGGGCTCATACTCACAACCTGGAGATCAAGAGTTGCATACTCCACTGACTGAGCCAGCCAAGCACCTCTATTCGAACTAATTTAAAGTTAGACAACCACATCTGCCTTGTAGATACCATATTCATCCATGCAGACTCTACCAGGAAGGACAAAATAAGGGTTATGCTGTGACATTCTGGAAAAACTTCTGAGTCAAAACTAGAGAGCTGCCAGCTCTGAAAGGCCTGTGTTCCCTGATCCCACATCTCAGCACAACAGGGGTCTTTCAGACCAACGTCTGCTCCTACTGCTTAGGTCTATATCAGTGTAGGCAGCCACTATGTCCTCTCCTTCCTCCCTGGGACCAGGGGAGAGTTGTTATTTCCAAGGTATTATCTGTTTGAAGCCAGAGGGGGTAGCTTATCTTAACTAATTAGGATAGGTCCAAAGTTACCCTGTGAGATGGTGCTCAGACCATTTGCAATAGGCTAACCACTAACATCTGACTCTACCTGCCAGGAAAATGTAAACTGTGAGAGTATTGTCAAGGGGGGGAGGGGGTCCCAGTTCCCTAGAGACACGGATCCCATTATTTTTTTTCTATATGTTAGTTTTCCAAGTATCTTTATTTATTTTTTTTTTTAA